AGTTAAATTTAACTAATAATGTTTGACTTAGATAATACGTATATCAAACATAACATGTTTCTTCAATCTTTATTCTGCGCACCTGTAGCAATTGAACTATAAATACTGGTTTGTATTGTTCAATTATCATTTTTTTTCCTCAATTTACACGTGGCAGGACTAGTGAAGATCATTATAAATGTAACTTGTTAAAATTGTGTTCTCTCTTATCGAGAAACACGTGTCTTTAATATACTGTTTCATCTTAAATAAATACTACCGACAATCTCTAAATTTGAGGAATGTTTGTTTGATAGTGATTTTAAGCTGCGTGTCTTCCGATATGTATAGATGGTAAATATATTCGATCAACTTAAATTATAGCACGATCATAATCTATACAATTTAATTGAAGATTAATTTTATTTCCAAGAGCCAAACCTAAATGTAATGGGAATTTTGGTCCCAATCAATCTTCTGAAAAAACAATAGTATTGCCTGAAAATTCATCAAATCAGGTGAGTGCTGACTTCAAAACGAACTGGCAGTATTTAACCCCCCAAAACGCTTCACTCTTCATTCTCACTGCCAGCATATTGTGAACAGACATTAGAATGAAATCTCAACTCTTGCCCTAAAAATTCAAACCCTAAACTTCAATTTTTACCAAAAGGCGTAAATTTTGTTTTTATCTACTTTATCTCACAAAGGTAGGTTTAGAAAGGTGAAAATGGCAGGGAGTGTGGCGGTGCAGCTGACGCCGGAGGAAGAAAAGCAAATCATCAGGGAAATTACTACGGCATCAGGAGCCCACACCAAAGCCGGCGACACATTCTATCTGATTACGCAAAGGTGGCCTTTTTGCTCTTAAATTGGATCTATATAATTTTAGTTCGATATCTCCGATGTTCTTTTTTGTTAATTTTTTTTTCTTTTTTCTTGGGGAGTTTTGTTGGACTGTGTTAAAATTTCAACCAGAGGTTGCTATGGATTAGAGAGCGTTAAGGTTTAATGTCAGTTGGAAAATAATTTAATTGTTTTTTCCATTGTATTTATTCATTTCAGGAGTGATGTAATTGCCCTTTTGAAATCTCAATCGTCTTGTCTTCTGAATTATTTCTCAATGACTGATATGGTGCAAAATTACTTTTTTGTTTGGAGTATGGTGTGTTCATAGATAAAAAGGAAAGTTTTTATTTGTGTTGAAGATAATTTTTAAATGAATATGGGCAGCCCCTCTTTAACAGTAACATCTTAAGCTTTTAAATGAGATGTTTAATATGGTAAAGAGGCAAAACACGTGGATTCAAGTCTCACCGCCTTCTATCTGTATACAGTTTTGCACATGTTAGAATTGATCAGAAAATGAATTCGTGAAGGGGCTTGTTGAAGGCAATATCTTAATAAAAACGTGTGGCCCCTCTCTAACAGATTGAGATGATTTACAATTTGCAGTTTTAACTTCTTTTTCTTCTCTTCCCGGCTGTATCACTTTGAATTATGTTCATGAATTCAGGATACATGAAATGATAGCTTTCCGAGTCAAATAATATTTATATGATGGATCTGTAAAGGAAAAATTATCAGGTTTTACTCGATCCTCATTACATTCTTTGTCATTTTAGTTTGATGAGTTTTGTTAACCCCATAGAAACTACCAAAAGATAAAATAAAATAAATAACTGGATCCAATATATACACACACCAAGTCAAAATTTAGGGCGTTGACTGTGACCTTTCGCATGAAAGAAACTGATTGAGTTTAATTATGTAGACTTTTTTCTACTCAAAAATTGAAAAATAAGAAATAGTGTTTGGATTGGCCAGTTGAAAATTGGTTTTCGAGAAACAAATTAACTAAAACATCCCACTAAAATGGCTGAATATTGTTGTTGTAATAGGATTGGTCAAAGTTGCGTTGAAGTAATTATATAAGGTAGCAAGATACTGTTCCATATAAAATATTTTCGAGAAAACAAAATAACAAACACTTTTTCATTTATGAAGAAACAACGGAAATTAATTAACATAAACAAAATAAATAGAAACAAAAAAATCAAACCCTCGCACATCCTAAATTTGTATGTGTTCCTTGAGCACACATTACCCCTGCTTCATGTTCTTGATGATTTTTCAGTCCTTTTATTTTTCATTTTGGGTCAAAATACCTATTGGACCATTATTTTCTTTGAGACTTACTTATTAATGGTGCTAACAGATGGTGGCAAGATTGGCTCAAATATGTAAATCAAAGCCAAACAAGTGTGATGAACGATGGATCTTTCTCTGACCATCACAATTCAGTTGGCTCAAGTGCATCGGCGAGGCCTCGGTGCATTGAAAATTCAGATTTGATTTATGAGACAGAATCTGAGGATTCTGCTAAGACTATTGAGCTTCAAGATACCTTAGTTGAAGGCACCGATTATATATTGCTTCCTGAAGGAGTTTGGAATCAATTATATTCATGGTGAGTAGAACTGAAATTATGTGGATTGATGCCAGGGCATTCCTTTTATTTATTTATTTTTTTAAATTTTTGTAACAGGTTTTCATTAACCGTCTTCTCCAAGTTGCTAAAATAATCGTACATAACTAAATATTTTATAACAACTAAGTTAGTTTATGAAGTTTTCACTTCCTCCGGGGGCACGATAAGTGTCATAGCTGACTTTTCATAGTCAAGTTGTCTTCTTATGAGTTCTGATAGAAAATTCATCCCAAGTTTGGTACTATCATCTAAATCATTGAAAAAATTCTGCTTGATCAGGAAGGTTAAACACGAGATTGCTGCAAGACTTGTTTTGTTGGGGGGGGGGGGGTTTGGAATTTTTTAAACAAATCTTGTTTTTTTGGGGGGGGGGGGGGTTGTGAATTTTGGTAGACAATTCTCAGTTTTAACCCATACCCTGCTTAACTGAAACTCACACCCCCTACTCACTCGTGGGAAAGATGCATAACCTCTTCTGATCACGAATCAGAAAGGGGTAGAACCTGAATACAAGAAGCATATGAAAAAGATATGCATACTAGTTAAATCTTGTTTAGTCCGGTATGAATACACACGACGTTAACTTCTGAAAAGCAAAAGGAAACCTACACACACTTCAATCTTGGAAATACATTTTCCTCCTTTAAAACTGTCTTATTATGTTTCTTCCAAACTACATAAAGAGGATCCATCTCTTGACACCTTCTTTCTCACTCCTCTGAGCAAAGCGATTCCTTTGCCCTCATTAACCACCAAACTCTGAAGAATATAATTGACAAACAGTTTTATACTCTACAGCCGCATTGCATATGAAACACCAGGTGAAGTATACATTCTGTCAACTTTGCAGATTTTTCAAGCCTTACAGACACCCAATTATGAGTACAACATGTGTATGGGGCGAGTTGAAGGATTAATTCTCTCTCCAACATCTTAAAGTTTTAGACGAGGTGTTCAACAATAACATGTGAAGAAATAAAAAACTCTCTCTAAGATACTTCACCTTCTGTTTTATATTAAGGTTGACTGTTGATATATACCTAGAAACTCAGTTTTAAAAAGAGTTTAGATGGTTTGACATACAAGGCTGTTCACATTTCTAACTCATGTCAACCATTATGCTCTAATGTACATGAAGGAGGAACGACTCGCGTACATTGGAGCATAACCCAATAGTTTTGCTGGTCAGTTGAGTAAGCCTATTGAACCAACTTTGGATTCTGAAAGCTATACTATTTGTAATTTCCTAAAATTTGACTTTATTAGACAAAGATTACCTGTTAACATCATGAGTCTATTGTGCAAACCTTCTCTGGCTTGAGCCTTGAATGTGATTTAGTGCTTGTTCGATAAAAAATTTCTAAATTTTATTATCTGGTCGAACTTCAGTGTTAACGTACATTTTATGGGATTCACAATTTTTATCAACTTTCAACTAACATTGTCATCAACTTTTATCAAAAGCTTTTTTCAAACAACCCCTTAATCTATGTTTTGTTTACGTAAGGTCTGCTTAATTATAAACATAATTGATATGGGTTGCTGCTATTTGGTTAATTTTTCCCGTGCAGCATGAATTTTTACTAGTGGCCGTCACACCAACATTATGTCCATTTGACCCTTTTGTTTAGAGCATGACAGATAACATGTCCATTAATGGGATGCTGAAACTGAAGTAAAGCTGTTTCATTGTAAATCTATCAGTCTATCATAGAGGCTTTGGAACATTTAAAATTAAAGGATATTCTACAGAAGCTCAACTTGGTTTTAATAATTAAAAGCAACTTCCCGATAAATTTGGATTCTACTTTGTATAATCCAAGAGAAGAAATAATTACTTTTCCTTATCTGTAATGAATTCAGCTGTTGTTCAGATAATTTTGTAGTCAATTTTGCTCTTTTGCAAGGTTGTGCTAAGATAATGAACATTGATGGAGAAACTAATAAGGAGTTAAATCTCTGTTTGCTTGGTTTAGGTATGGAGGTGGTCCCGTATTGGCTCGAAAGGTAATTGACTCCGGTCTTTCTCAAACAGAATTGTCTGTAGAAGTTTATCCTTTACGGCTTCAATTGCATCTGATGTCAAAAGGTGATCGGTCTACAATAAGAATAAGCAAAAAGGTTTGATCGACATGTTCCCTTCTTCTTGCTGGATAATAATTATTGACATCTCCAATTTATGCGTAATTATGTGTATTGAAGGAATTGAATTTCTTTTGGCAGGAAACTATTGGTGAACTTCACAGAAGAGCTTGTGAGATGTTTGATCTCAAAACTAAGCAAGTAAAGAACTCCTCAAATTTTTATTCTTATCTTTTCATTTTTTCTCTAAAGACATCTTGCTATTTTATGATTAACTCTTTTCCTCTTGCATTAGGTATATATATGGGATTACTTTAGCTGTCAGAGGCATGCTTTGATGAATGACATGGAAAAGACACTCGATGCTGCAAATATACAAATGGATCAGGATGTGAGTGTTTTTATTTTGTGACACTTTGATTTCATAGAGTGCTGTTTCTGCTACAGGAGAGCGCTTCTTATAATTAGGTTTACGTTTTATGCAAAGCTGTTATATGGTATTTGGTTTTGAACCGCCTCGCATACTTGGCTCATCTCCATTAGTCATACTCACTTGTTGATGTTCTAATTTATCTATATGGTTGCCAAGCTGTCAAGAGTTTTCTAATAGAAATTCAATTTTTAATATCCGCATGAAATTATTCTCCCATTGATTATTACTAATGTTTTCATTGTCTATTGCATAATTTTTGTTTTGACGAGTAACTTATGTTGTGAGATTATTATTTCATTCAATGGAGTAAGGTTTAAGATATCAGTAATTCATTTTCGTTTATTTTTGGGGGGGGGTTTTGTCTTGTGGGTAGGGGATTCACAAGGGTGGCCTTTTTGAATATACTCGATTCTTGAAATGGAGAAATATCATGTAGCCTATACCCTGGGGACTGGTCTTTTGCACCTTCCGCTGGAAGAGCGTACAATATCTGCCTAAAAAATGTACTGCAGCCCTCTTGGCCATTCCAATTCGCTGCCGAATTGAGCGATGCATGAGCTATTCTCCGTTGCCACTATTGGATTTTTTGAGAAACTCAAAGTTTGAAGTTCTCAAGAATCTGTGACTCCCGGAGCCTTTCAGTCTCATCTGGTTACCATTGGTTTTCTATATTTTCTTGATTGTGAATTAAGTTCGTGTTCAGTTTGAATTCAAATTCTGATTAAGCTGAGAAGTGTCTCTTTTTATCGTATCTTCTTCCTGATAGATTGCAGAATTTGCGCCAGATTGTTTTTCATTGGTGCCTGTTTTTCTTACTATATCATCTGATGGACGCTGGTTACATTCAGTGACTAACATGGAGATTACTGCCTGTACTTCCATGCACTTAGAACACCTACTTCTCATATAATAAAGAAGTTTAAAAGGAATTGATTTTGATAATGATTACGAATATGACTTCATTCAGCCAGAAATAAATATGCATTTGATCTCTACTTCAGTCATTTTGTTACAATCAGTTATCTGTACATAGAAACCTATCCTATCCTGCTTTTGTATCAAAAGAGTTAGTGATGTGGCATTTTTATGGTCCTACTACTCATCTGTTTCATTATGCTTTTGTTGTACTATTTAGTGTAATACGGTACTTGATGACTTGGTTTACTTGTTCTTGAACCCTCTTCCCTAGTTTCTTGGTTGGATTTTGTGTACAGAGTTAATTATAGCCACTTAATAATACATGTCTTTTTTGTTTGCCTGAATACATTTGGCTAGGATTACTTGACTGAGAGATACTCATGTTAGTAAATTGTTGTTCACTTTTTCTTTCAATTGACAAATTTGCCTGGTCTGTAGGGATAGAGCTCTTTATCATATATTATGTGATGCTGTACATTATTCTGACATTTCACATTTTTTTTTGTTGTGCAATGGCCAAAATCAGATTTTAGTGGAAGTTCTCAATAGTGAAACTGGTGGTTGCGCGAGTCCTGTTCAGGAGAATGGATCCGCAGACAATGGAGCCTTAGCTGTTGCTGCTTCACAGTCTAGTTCGTTACCTGCTGGAGGTCTTTATGTTAACAAATATTCATCAAGAAATGGTAATTCAGAGTTGTTGCAGAATGCAAATGTTGAGAAGGCATATGGACCGAGTGGTGTTAGTACAAGGGGATCTTCTTGTGGTCTAACTGGACTGTTGAATCTTGGAAATACTTGCTTTATGAACAGTGCAATACAATGTCTAGTTCATACCCCGGAATTTGCACGATATTTTCGAGACGATTATCATCAAGAAATAAACCGTCAGAATCCTCTGGGCATGGTTGTAAGTTTCACTCACGACAATGATGAATTTATTACTTGTGTTTATACGGGTGAGCAGGGTCATTGTCGTATTATAGAGGAATTCATGCAAAATGTTGGCTTGTTTTGTCAGTGAAATAATTCCATTGTTTTTTTTATGCCACCTGGCATGTCATGTTACTCTTGCAAAAGCACTGCTGAGGATTGTAGAACTCCCTTTTTCTTGTTTTCTGCTTGATGGGTTGATCTCAAATGATAATTTATCTATGCCATATGCAGTGATTAGGTTGCTTGAACACCATTAAGTTATGTCTGTACTTTTTAGCTATTTCATGATTACTCATCTTAGCTTGATGTTATGAAAATTAATGGTATGAAGAAAAGAATAATAAATCTTTTCTATTGCATTAAAAAAGAAAGTCGTGTTGTTTTATCCTTTTAGCCTTAACCCCCTTACGTGACTTCTTGTTGTTTCTCTAATATAGAAGTAATTGAAGGTCTTGTACTCAAATCATGCAAAAAGCTAGGAGAACTTTGCTGACCTGCCATTAGTGGCTTTGTCAGTGTAAGAAGTTGTGCAATTAAAGCTTCCTTTACTCCAGCAATTTTATTAGATACATCCACTGTTTTCCATTCCATCTGGGCAGATCATAGAGTTATAAATTTGGGTTTTGATCAGAGATTGAAGTGGCTAATCTTAATTTACAGGAAACTAGTCTTGGACTGGGCATTTCACTATCTGCAGTGTGCATATTGAATTGACATTTTCTCTTGTTAATGATGTGTACGAAATGCCTTGAAAGTCAGCTTAGCTAGTGCTTTGAGCTATAAATATGATTGATTTTTTAAGATGTTTCCATTTTTCTGACATTGTTTTAACATGCAGGGTGAGCTTGCTTTAGCATTTGGTGAGTTACTTAGAAAATTGTGGGCACCAGGGCGAACTCCAGTTGCCCCCAGGTCCTTCAAAGCAAAGCTTGCTCGCTTTGCACCACAATTTAGTGGATGCAGTCAACATGATTCTCAGGTTTAGTGCTTCATCTGTAGTTTCATGACTCCAAGCTAATGTTAATTGGCGGAGTTAAAAATTATAATAATCACCTTTTTCTATGCAGGAGCTCCTCGCATTTTTGTTGGATGGACTTCATGAAGATTTAAATCGTGTTAAACACAAACCATATATCAAATCTAGAGATGCAGATGGCCGACCTGATGAAGAAGTTGCTGATGAGTATTGGGCAAATCACATTGCTCGTAATGATTCCATAATTGTGGATGTGTGCCAAGTAAGTATCACAGTGATGATGGTATAGAACTAACATTTTGGAATAATTCTATATAATTTTTAGTTACTTATGCTGTAGAGAGGAGTCGTAGCTATTTGATGCTCTTAGTTTATGATGTCTCACGGCTTTATATAGTATAATGTTGTGTCTAAGCCCTTTTAACAGTCTTGTAACTGTGTTTTTGTTTGGGGCCATTTTGTTAATTTGGTTCATTTACCCCACTGGATTTGAAAACAATATCATCAAAGAAAATGAGGTCGTTCGTAGACTAATTCAAGAAAATTGTGATAACTGGAATACATAATACAGTAATCAAGGGACTTCTGAAATATAAACCAGCAGTACCATTCTGGAGATCCCTTTCTTTCACCACCAAATTGTTGCTAAATACCCAATAGAAACATTTGTTTTCTTAGTAGTTAAACGCCATTTAGCTAAAGTATTGTTTACTCTTACACATGTGGTAACTAATATTTGATATACATTATTTTTATTACACGGTGAGCAATTGTTGGATGACCCCTTTGGACTGCTTAGCTGTATGAAATTCTGCCTATGTGTAGTGCATGCATGCAATGCTAAATATACAATTGCATTGCTTAGTCAGAAAGCCAGTGACAATTATATATAGACTTTAATGCATTATTTTAATTCAATTTAAATAATCTTTTTGTTGAAAAATGCTGGGGAAAGAGGATGGAACTAGATGTTCTCCGGTTCAATACCTTATAATTTTCCATCACAATTTTAAAGTATGGCCTATAGCCTCTGGAAACGACTTATTTCATATCTATCCACTCTGTTGAAAACGTTGTCTTATTGCATAGTTTGTTCATAATTAATGGTAGATGGGACTGCATTTGACTTGTTTGTAAAAGAGTAGGAAGAACAGTGATTTTGCTGGACCTGGAGGAAAAAAAACTGACAATTACGCTTGGCAGAATCTTCCATACAACATTGTTAAAATCAAATGTACACCATTGTCAAGGAAAATCAGATCCCTTGAAACATGTCTTCTCAGGCATTCGAAAATGAGAATTTGTAATGAGACTGGAGCATGTCTGTACTCGATCAAGGACAACCAAATTTTTACCTTCTCATTGTTTTGGAATTCATGTGCAAATCACATTTTTGCAGGGGCAATACAAATCGACTCTGGTCTGTCCTGCATGTAATAAAGTCTCAGTTACATTTGATCCATTCATGTATCTTTCCTTGCCACTTCAATCCACCATCACTCGTAGTATGATGGTAACTGTTTTTACCTGCGACGGAAGTGCCCTCCCTGCTGCTTGCACTGTAAGTGTTTCAAAGCAGGGACGTTGCAGGGATTTGATCCAAGCACTGAGCAACGCTTGTTCTTTGCAACTCAACGAAAAGCTCCTGCTTGCTGAGGTCTGCAGAGTAAATCAATTCTCGGAAACACTTATTTACACAACTTATAACTGAAATCTTCTTTATGTGTTGCTCGTAGATAAGAGGCCACTTGATTTACCGATTTTTGGAGGATCCATTGATATCGTTGTCTTCCATAAAAGATGATGACCACCTTGCTGCCTACAAGATACCAAAAATTTTGAAGAAAACTAAGTTTCTTCAACTGATACACCGCAGGGGAGAACAGTAAGCAGAACTATTCCTTGTGTGTAATGCCAAGTGCTTCACTGGCTATTTTAAGATAACCTGTGTTTTTCTCCTTTTCTATGTTTTTTAGGGGCGCGGGTAATTCTCAGGGCACTATGGGGTGGAAGCCTTATGGGACCCCTCTTGTTTCTCCCATCTCATGTGATGAAACTATAACTAGAGGTGATATCCAGCTGATGGTAAACAAAATGCTCTCGCCAATGTTAAGAAAAAATAGCACTGAATATCCAGGTATTAATTGTTCTAACGCACCCATGGCAACATCAAATCAATTTCATGCCACTGGATCTACTGAATTTTGTTCCGATTCAGATGGTGCCAATGCAAGACAATCCTACAGTGGCAGTTTAAAATCAGTGACTTTCCATAAACTTCCGCTGCAGTTGGTTGATGAAAATAATGCTTGCATAGATTTAACTGTTGGTGAGGATAAGGTGGTTAAGTTGTCATCATCGTCTATGTCGATCCTTGTATTTGCTGATTGGTCACAAAAGCTTTTGGGAAGTTACGATACCAGCCACTTAGAAACCTTGCCAGAAGTTTGTAAATATGGGCATGTAAACAAGAAAGCTCGAAGTGAACCTCTCTCCTTATACACTTGTTTGGAAGCTTTTCTACGTGAAGAGCCATTGGTCCCTGAAGACATGTGGTAAGATTCTTTTTTTGCTATTTTGCCAGAATGGGGCAATTCTCTACATCTATCTCGTAAGTTTACCATCTAATTTATTCGTCTTTTTGAGAAGGTATTGTCCTCAATGCAAGGAGAGGCGCCAAGCAAGCAAGAAGCTGGATCTTTGGAGGCTTCCCGAAGTGCTGGTTATTCATCTAAAAAGGTTCTCTTACAGCAGATCGATAAAGCATAAGCTAGACACATTTGTAAATTTTCCAATTCACGACTTCGATGTGACTAGTTACATAGCCAACAAGAACACCCCACATCAGATCTATGAACTCTATGCCTTGACAAATCATTACGGTGGCATGGGAAGTGGGCACTATACAGCTCATATTAAGGTGTGCCATATCCTTTCAGTAATGTTTTAATATTCCTGATATCATGCTGAACATAGATTCCTTATATTTTACCTCAAATCTGTTATATGCAGCTTCTTAATGAAAATAGGTGGTACAACTTCGATGACAGCCACATATCAGTAATCAATGAAGACGACGTAAAATCAGCTGCTGCTTACGTGCTATTCTACAGGAGGGTGCATTCAGATAAATCTTCTGCCAGTAATGGTGCATACTCGACCGGCGAATGCCAGAACTACCATAACTGAAATCGAGGTGGACATCATTTGTTTATAGTGAAACTGTTAAAGCTATATCTATTACAAAATATTCAGACCTTCACAGTCCATAGGAATTCCGAGGTCAGTATCTTAGGATTAAACAGTTATCTCGGATGAGATTTTGTATTTGAGTACTAGATGGTCTTGTAAGTTAAATCTTGTTGAAGACTAGGCGATTGATGAATTACCGTATGTCAAC